AGTATTTTGATTTTAATATTATAATGAATTTAGTTCTATTTTAATATTTGCAAATTGAATGTATTTGCATTTTCTATTATTTTGTATACTTTTGTAAGCTGCCTTATGTTCCATTTCTGGGAAAAAGGTGGCAAATAAATACAATAAATAAATAAGTAAATAAAATACTGCAACATTTAAATATTTAAATTTCTTGTATGATGGGTTTGAGTTTACCTTGATTCAAATTTATCATGTTCCAAATATATATATTGTGGTTTCCTTTTGCTTCTGTATACAATGGAAACTAGATGTACTTTTAGCTTTAACCTATTTGCCTCACTAGCTACAGGTCTGTCCATATTTGTTCTTTGCTTTTCCCGAGTAGCTGATTGAGTGCCTTCTGTACAGGAAGTTTCATCATCTAGAACTATTTTTTCCCCATTTTGGTTTGGATTGGACTGGATTGGATATTGTTTTGAGGGATAAAATATTCAGAGTAGTTTACCATTTGCTTCTTCTACGCAGTACTAATCAGGGTTAGCTTAACTGTCACTGCTGTTTTCTATGATAGACCCTCCACTGGGACCACCTCCCACGACAGCTTCTTCTAAAAAATTGCCCTTCAAGAGCTTATCTGCCTTTATCACCATAGGGACCATCAATTCTTCTCTGCTGATACAACGGTTAATTCCTGAAGTGGATGGAATTGTGTTTCATCTTTGATGGTTCAACCTTGGGTGACTCTACTACAAGTGTAGACTGATAATTGAGTTTGTCCTTTTGATAGTATTGTGGTCACTTTCCCTCAAACACTCAAAATCACACACGCCATGTACATCCAAGAGAGGAATATACATTCTGTTTTGATACAAATAATTCTGTTTCCTTTTCACTGTCAAAATAAAGTGGATTTGAAGATTGTGCTGTTTTCACATTCATAATTATTTTACATCTTAATCGTGTCCCTTCACCATTTTACCCCCTTACAATCTTTCTGTATATGAATAGTGCACTTGACTTGGCACAGTGGTTAAACTGCAGAATTGCAGTCAAGCCTCTGGTCATATCCTGAGTTCAATCCTGACAGGCTCAGGTAGCTGGGTCAAGGTTGACTCATCCTTCCATCTTTTCAAGGTTATCAATGAGTACCCAGTTCGCTGGAGGGGGGGCCAAAGTGCTCTTTGCATAATTATGTTGTAAACTGCCCAGAGAGTGCTTTAGAACTATGGAGCAGTATATAAGTCAAAACAACCACCACCACCTACTAATAGTTTTAACTGATTTTCTCTGTACTTTGACCAACTTGACCAAATGACAAAATTAGTTTTGGGGTTCGGTGTCACCATTATGCGGATGGCACCCATTATGCGGATGGCACCCAATTCTATCTCTCCTTCCCATTGAATTCCAAGGAAGCTGTCTTGATTCTAAACCCGTGCCTGATATCAGTACAGTACTGTAATGGACTGGATGAGAGCAAACAAACAAAACTGAATCCAGACAAGGCAGAGGTATTCCTGGTCAGTCAGAAGGCAGATAAGAGAATAGGGAGACCACCTGTGTTGGATGGATTTACACTCCCCCTGAAAACTCAGGTATACTCCTGGATTCATCCTTGAACCCTGGGTTCCCAGATTTTGTTGGTGACCAGGAGTACTTTTGCAGATGAAACTGGTGCATCAGATGCACTCATTCCTTGAGATGTCGGATTTGGCTGCAGTGACAAATGCCTTAGTTACATCCTGCTTAGATTACTGTAACATGCTGTGTGTGGGGTTGCCTTTGAAGATGGTCCAGAAACTTCAGCTCTTTTATGATGCAAAAGTCTGTTGACTGTGGCCAGTTATAGGCTCATATAACACTCCTCCTACAACAACTGCATTGGTTACCAGTTTGTTTCCAGGCCCAATTCAAAGTGCTTGTCATTAACTATATAGCCCTATACAGTTTGGGTCCAGGCTACCTGAAGGACCGTATCTCCCCATATGAGCCTTCTCAGCATTTAAGATTGTTAAAGGAGCCTCTTCTCTTGGTCCTGTTGGCAGTGCAGGTACGATGGATGGGGACATGGGAGAGGGCCTTATCTGTGGCAGCTCCCAGGTTATGGAATACTCTCCCTCAGGAGATTTGGCTGGCCCTTCCCTTTTATCCTTCCACTGACAGCTGAAGATCCATCTTTTCAGGAAGGCTTTTAACAATCACGATTGAGTCCCTGAATGCTTTTTTAAAGTTAAGGTAGATTTTAACGTTTACTTGCTTTTAATTATTAAATTGTATTTTAATTAGTGTATAGTTTAATTGATTTTAATTTTTTATTATGTTTTTACAGTAATTCTATTCTTTTAATATTGGGAGCCACCTTGGGCCCTCTTATCAGGAGAAAGGTGGCCTACAAATAAAACAAACAAATAAAAATATAAATAAATATTAACTAGGAGCAATCATGTCCACACATATTTATTTTCTAGATACTGTTTTGCATTAATAGACTAATCCTCAGTATTTTTAATTTTTTTTTGTCTTATATTCTTTCTCTGACAATCTCAGGGTAAAACATGATTCAGTTACAGGTAGGTGTTCTCAGCCTTCTTCTTTCCATTTTCATCCACTTTTCCAGAGTGCCCAATACAGCCCAAAGGGGAGGTAATTTAAGACCCACTGATTTCAATTGTCACTGTTAGTACTTTCTGCATTTAATTTACCTCTGATCTCAGTGTCTCAATCCTAACTGAGACCACATGTACTGTAAATATAAGTGCACGCATAGACCTGATTAATGCCCTATAGTCCATGGACTATGATAAAGTTTAACAAAAATCCCTGTTGTACCTTAAAGACTAACAAAGTTTATTTGGCACAATCTTTTGTGAGCTTCATCAAATGCCTGGAATGCTTCTCCTGTAAGCAGATAATTATAAACATGCTGGGGAAGAATTTGAAATTAAATAAAATGGAAAAGGTACTAGCATAGTATTGAACTTAACGCTGTTCTGAAGAATCATTTTATAGCCATTGGGAGGTTGATATGGACATCCAAGAATAGATAAGCAGATTAACACATGTGTGATGAAGAAAACTTTTTGTCCAATATAACTATAATGGAAGAGGCTAGTCTTTCAGTACATTGTGCTGAGAGATTGTATGCTAGGCTGTTAAATCAGCCCCTGGTCTGGTCAAACTTTCACTTCTAATTCACTCCCAGAAATAGTTTCCCCTGGGAAAAAAGGTAAACTCCCCCTCCTGTAAAACCTCAAGAGTAGCAGTTAATCTTTTACATTGATTGCAGCCGGCCACACTCCCATAGTATTTAATCTCCATTCCAAGTTTTGAAAACCAGGCTGGACTTTTGGCCATATCTGGCATTGGTTTTTCACATTGGGTGGTCATTGTGGTCCCCGAGGATCCCAAGGGCACAAAGTTGGTTACAGGACCTGCTGAAGTCTCCCACTGCTTGGGATCACAATGAAAAGGACTGGAGAGGACCGAAATGCAAACCTTGCAGGTAGAGAGATTTGTCCAAGAGTGGTCATAAAACAAGCAAAAGTAGGGTAGCATAGGAGACCTTTGACTGCATATTCCACTGAAGTACTCATTGAAAACCTGAAGGATCATAACTTCTCCTAGGCAAAAGCCAAGAGTATGGGGAACGCTGGGCAGAGAAAGAATAGCGATAGTGAAATAAATCTCATTCTTGTAAACTCCCTACTCAAGTTATGGGAGATACAGCTGCACCTCTTGATGAATTCGTATCTATCTGTTTCTCTCTGGAATCCACCTTTGAAGTTATTTTGCTCAAGGAGGGCCACCCCAATGTCAGACAGAGAGTGTATATACAGTTAAAGCAATTAAGTTACCTTGTTGTTCCACATCCTACAGAATCCAGAGATGGACACTTTGGCAGGGCGTCTGCACTCCCCAGCATTCCACAGGATAGAACCATGCCAGTGAAAGAGATACTGTACTGTTATAACTGAGTAGTATATATACACCTAGTGTGTCCTGGGAGTGTGAAGTGTTTTCCCATTGTTTTTGGATATTACTGCTTCTGATGTCACTTGTATGCTGATTTGTTCTTTTGCACAGAAATTGGCCTTTTAATCCTGCGTAAAATATTACGTGGCATTGCTAGCAAAACATGGGACTTCCCAGCGGTGCGTCTGTACAACATAGAGTCGTACAGTATCATAAAGCCCAAGACATGTATTATGACGCAAGGCTTTGTGGACTAAATCTCCTTCATGCTACCTCGTTAATCACAACCATTATCATCATTCTTAGTCTTCTATCAGGCCTACTTGGCCTCATACTTTTTTAAAAAAATTTCCAGGAAATCCATTCTACAGTCCCTGGTGGTATTCTTGAAAGAAAGGAAGGTCCTTTTTATAACCAACTCCTGCCTATGTATATCAGAACAATGACCAAAATGAGAAGCAACGAGTAAAATGCATCCACTCCTGTTAATTTTTAAAACTACAGCAATATTTTGTGTGCAAAGAATTGTAACTGCAATGCAGTTGTCATTCCTCGGAGTAGCTTCGTGACCATTTTCTCTGCGGGGCTGCTTGCCTGTCTGTGGAGGTTTCTCCTTGACAATGACACAGAGAGACCTGTGTGCTACATGCTACTGGGGGGGGGTCCTTTATTCCACAGCCGGCGTTTCTCTGTCCACCCCAACCCCCATTTCCACACACCCCTTTTGCAACTTCCTTGAAGCAGCCATAGTGACCTATATGCATATTCTGGCAGCTCAGAGCAGCCGCCGGCGGAAAACCCTCCTCGCGTCTCCCCCACCCCCTCACCCACCCCACACACCCCCCCGCCGCCAATTGTGGTGCTTTGCAAATTGACACCAACCTCTCCCGCCTCTTTGCTGTCTTTCAACACGTCGCCGAGGGTCGCGGCCAATAGGAAAAATCGGCGCGGCTACCTCCGTCCAATAAGCCGGAACAAACGAAGCGGTTGCCAGGCAGATTGGTGAAGGTAGGCCCAATGGGAGAAGAGCTCCTCCAGCGCAGAGGAGGGAGGAGGCGGTGGCGACGGGGAGAACCGAGAAGGACCGAACGAGGAGGCCGGGCCGGCGGGAGAGGCCGAGCGGGTCAGCCCGCTCTTTGAATATCCGGGATGCCCTACAAGCTGAAGAAAGAGAAGGTGAGGGACGGGTGGGGTGGGGGAACCAAACGGGCTTGCAACGAAGCCCCCCCCCCCCTTAATGAATGCATGCATTTTTAAAAAAAGCCCGATGCAGGCGGCAAAAGACGGGGCGGGGGTATTGCTGGGCCTTGGCAGCTACTAAGCTCCGGGGCCTCTGCTTGGAGAGGAGCCTCCCACCCGCCTGCCCCGGGCCGAGGCCGTCGGCCCCACACGGAAGGAGCGCTCGCGCAAACGCACCCGGGGCGGCGTGTTGCCCAGACAATACACACACCAGATTGCAGGCCACGGGCGGGTTGCAGGCGCCCCGGCGGAAATGTCCGCACTCTGACGGGATCCTTGCACCGGGGGAGAGGCGAGGTGTGTGTGTGTGTGTGTGTGTGTTGGTTGTACACGCGCGTGCAAACGCGCGCCCGGGCGCCCAACTCGCCTGGTGGTTCGCGATAAGAGACGCCGTAGCAGGAGCCTCCTCGGCGGAGGAAGGGCGTCGGAGGGTCTCCTTCTCCGTCTTTTTGCGGTTGCCGCCGGAGGCCCAGCCTTGCGGCGCTCCGGGCAAGAGAGGGAGAGGCCCCTGCAGGATGCCTCGACATTTTCTGGAGAGTGGAGGGGGGGGGAATGCAGTGGGGAGCTAGCCGTGTCTGCCCTTGGGGTACACAACGTAGCGATTAAGCCAGAAAAGCGGGGTGGCGATGGTGGGAATCAACCCCTTTCAACCGAAGGACGTGGAAGATGATGAGTAGACAGGGAGGCTGCCCATTGTGTGCTTTGTGCACATCGATTGTGTATTGGTGCCGAACTAGAGGATGGAGAAGTGTAAAGGCGGCTGCCCTGTTGGATGCATGCAGGCCTCCTTGGGCATATAGTGACCACCACGTATGTATTACACGTACCCACATAGGACAGATTGCCCCTCAATTTCATACTGGGTATGAGGTTTTGAGACACACACTGGATTTGTTGTTTCCATCTGTGGTACATCATGCCACACCTAAGAGCTTGAGGCAGATTTCAGCCTAGGTTCCCCGCCTCTGCCATTATCAGCCTGGAGAGGAGATCAATTCAAGGCCTTGTATATATAGAATTACACTCCTCTTAATGGGATTTAAGAAGGAGAACGCAGCTAGGAGAGGGATGTGGCTCGCAAATCAATATTTAGTAGTAGTATTTTGTGGAAGTGGGCCAATTTGTGTTTCGTGGACTACAGGGCCCAGAATTCCCCATGCTGCCTGGGAATTCTGGGAGCTGTGATCCAAAAACACAATGTGCCCTTCTGCATTTTGTATGGGAAATAGAGTTTACCTTTGTACTATGGCGAGATGCTGAAGGCCCTGCCCTTTTAGTAAAAACATCTGTAAAGCGAGGGTACTGAACTCTGTTGTGAGCAGACATTTTTGAGGACCATGGCTTGTGCAGTTGCATATAGACATAAGGGAGTGGAAGACAAAGCTACTGTGTGCTGCGGAAGAACAAGAAATGCACACAAATTTGTATCCTGCTGAATTCAGACCAGATACATAAGTTTTTTTGTGCATTACAGAATGCACTCCCTGAATTCAGACCAGATACATAAGTTTTTTGTGCAGAAGGCACTCCAGAAGTAATGCATCACCATGTAACAATGTAGTGCTTTTGTCCAGTACGTGGATACCTAGGTAGAAATGAATTGATCACTTGTAGAAAGGAAGAAGTCTTTATGGAGCACATGGGCATGCTATGTGCTCCACATGTGGCAATGATGAGTACAGTAGAGTACATGTTTACATGTAGAAGGTGCTGAATTCAGTTTCTTCAGGTTGGGCTGGAAAAGATCTCATGTCTGAAACAAGATGGCTAGGTGAAATGGATCAGTGGTCTAAGTTGTTACAAGTTCCTGTGCATCATGGTTTATGTTTGTGATGCACGTGCTATAGAGCATGTGTGTTCTGTTGGAGCAGTATGTGCGAGAAGATGTGAGCCTGACAGTATAACCTATGCCAATAGGTTCAGTTTCTTCAGGTTGGGCTGGAAAAGTTCCCATGTCTGAAACAAGATGGCTAGGTGAAATGGATCAGTGGTCTAAGTTGTTACAAGTTCCTGTGCATCATGGTTTATGTTTGTGATGCATGTGCTATAGAGCATGTGTGTTCTGTTGGAACAGTATGTGCGAGAAGATATGAGCCTGAGAGTATAACCTATGCCAATAGAACCTGTTCGGCAATCACACCTGCAAATATTTGGTAACCCCTGAATTTGTGTATTAGAGTATCATTTGCCACAAATTCCCGAACATTTGTAGTTTCACAGGCTAGTTTTTCACTGATCAGTACTACAAAATACAGGTAACATAACTTATTGTGATTAGCTGGGATACAGTTCATTTAGGCTGCAACACGTAAACATTTGTCTAGGAGTAGACATAATTGAATTATTTTCCTCTTTCTTAAATAAAATAAATAAATAAAATAAATTTACCACAAATCCCCGAACATATGTAGTTTCATAGGCTAGTTTTTCACAAATCAGTACTGCAAAATACAGGTAACATAACTTATTGTGATTAGCTGGGATGCAGTTCATTTAGGCTGCAACATGTAAACATCTGGGAGTAGACATAATTGAATTGTTTTCCTCTTTCGGATTCATGAGCACCATAGTTTACCATAAAGCCCAAATTTTACAGTTTGGCTCCAAATTGCAATTAGGAAACAAGTTTTGAAGTAGCTTTCAGTTTCTGGTTTCTGTTATTGCAACTTTTTTGAACTATGCACCCTTCAGGTGCTTTGGACTACAACTCCCACCGTTGCCTGTTAGCTGCCCATCCTCAAGGGAACATTCGGATTCATGAGCACCATAGTTTACCATAAAGCCCAAATTTTACAGTTTGGCTCCAAATTGCAATTAGGAAACAAGTTTTGAAGTAGCTTTCAGTTTCTGGTTTCTGTTATTGCAACTTTTTTGAACTATGCACCCTTCAGGTGCTTTGGACTACAACTCCCACCGTTGCCTGTTAGCTGCCCATCCTCAAGGGAACAGATAGGAATTGTAATCCAACACAGCTGGAAGGTATTCCATGGAGGAAGGCTGATGGAGTGAATTAAGCCACTCACTCCATCCTCCCCCCCCCCCCGG